ATGTTCTGGGCCTTCCCTAGGTCTACTCAGCCTTAAACGCGTATACCTGGTGGTGTCCACAAACATAAGCGCTGGGGAGACCAAATCGGTCTGGCGTGGTCATTGGCCACATCACTCCCTCGTGTGTTTTTCCGACCTTCATAGGTGATCGATACCGGTCTTTTCCCTAAACAGTATGGGGATGTTTGTTTGAGTCGTCTTTTTACGCATATCGATCATGTTTTTGGAAAAATCGACGCATTCGTGTATGCGTCATATAGACGTGCTGTGAGAGAGTGTAAGGCGTGCTTGTGTGGTGCCAGTGGCTTGATGAAACGTGTTCGTGTGCACAGTGGCATGGGATAACGGCAGCTGTTGTCGTACCTTCACATCGTGGAGTATTGTTGAGTCAAAATAAAAACAGTTGTGGCTCTCAGAGAGCCCCATTCACACGCCGCGGTGGTGAGATGTTCACTATCTCGCCTGAAATAAAGGAGGTCGCTGGTTTCGATCCCGACCGTGACGCCCGCTGTATATTTGGATTTTGCATGTTCTCTCTCTCCCCGTGGCCACGTGGATTTTTCCTCCGGGCCCTCCGGTTTTTCCCTCCACATTAATAAACGTGCGTTTAGAGTATTTGGCTGCAATATATTTCTACGTGATAAGCCACTTCGTTGAGCTATCATTGTGGTCAGGTAGCTCCTGAAAAATAGCTCAGTGGGCCTAACCGGTAAAATAAAAAATAGTTTTAGTTTAGTAAGATTTCAGGAGAATGTGTGCGCATATATCTTAAAGGAAGGCTCTAGTGATGATGAAGAGACACTTCCCACATTCTACTGCTCAGACTGCGGTGAGGCGCGTTCCAAAAATGATCACCCATTACCCAACTCCATCCATACTTTCCTGTACATATGACATATGACTGCATATTTTTCAAAATTATTATTATTAAAATCAGGAACAGCTATGATCATCCCACCGCTGCATGAAGACCTCCCCAAGGCGTCGCCATCTCTCGTCGCGATCTGATTTCACCGCTCCATTTCCACGTCGGCCACCTTCCTCCATCTCGGCGTTCCTTTACCCTTGGCTGCCACTCCGTTGTAGCTCTCGACCACCGGGCATCATGCCTTCTAGCGACGCGTCCTGCCCACTTGCATGTGTAAGTGTATGTTGAACTTCTCTCGCACGGTACATAGCCAACCGTGCTAATTGGCGTACACCGGACGGTCAAGTAACCGGGCATTATTTGTAATGACCCCTTTTATCCACTTATTTTTACGTTCACTGAAGCGGCTGGAAGGCCACTACGCCGCCGATAAGACTAGAGCGTACTTCGTGTTTACATGGGCGTAAGGAACGTAAAGTGAATTTATGAAATGTGTTCTTCTATACGTGTGTATAACAGACCCTAGTGGGGCAGACCAGACGATGCACTTGCTGTTGTGTAATAGCAAGTATATAGGGCGCCAAGGTGGCTGGGAGATGTTAACTACCTCGCCTGGTATACAGGAGGTCATGGGTTCGATCCCGACCCTAATGCCCGTTGTATATTTGTAGTTTGTGTCTTTCTCCCCGTGGTCGCGTGGATTTTTCTCAGGGTCCTCCGGTTTTCCCCTTCACGTTTATAATCAACATCATGCGCTCAGAGTATTTGGCTGCAATAAACTTCACACGCGATAAGCCACTTCGCCGAGCGATACTTTGTGGCCAGGTCGTTTCTGAAAAAAAAGAGCAGTTATAGCTCAGTGGGCCTTCACCTGGTAAAATAATAGTTGAGCTGATGCATTGCTATGGCGTAAGTAATGATGTTCAGGGTGCTTCCAAATGTCATTTACACTTTTGAGAATTTGCAACAACGCCACCAGAAATGTGCTGCTGCCTCCGGGCTCTGGAGACCACCTGGAGATGATTCCAGGCCACGTGTTGACAACGATGGCGAACAAGTGGAGACTCTTTGACTCTTCGAAGCTATTAAACATGCATTTGTTGTCATGTTCCCATTAAAAAAAAAAACAATAGTCCCATGTAAGTGGTAACATTTTTTTTTTTAAAGCGCCCTGTTTTTTCATAGAGGAAGTACCCGTCGCAGAACGATAGCCCTGCATCCACCCCCGACATCACGACCTCCACACGCCCATTCGATCAACCCCCCCCCCTCCCCCACCACCACAGCCCCCCAAAACATCCATACCAACGCGCCCCCTCTCTCCTCCCCACCTCAATCGGATCCTCGGCGGGGGGATATATTTTCCGGAGCTCGGCACTGGACAGCTTCGGCTGAAATTAAAGCTCTGCGTCTATCCACCACCACCATCATCATCATCGTTACCGTCAGAACAATCAGCCACGAGCGAACACGCGTTGATCAAGTAACTTTTATTACGTCAAAGGAAAACGGCGAAATTGCTCCATTGTTTATTTGTGTGGATGTTGGTCGGCACGTCCGAACATCCCCTTGTTTGTTCAGCTTACGGGATAGCCGCACCACGTGGCTGAGAGATCTAATTTTTATGTTGCCGCTCGCCTCCCGCGGATCAACTCGCTTCTCTCGGTGTTGCAACCGCTCAGGGACAGCCTCAAGTGGCATCAGTACCACGTCGGCGAACGATACACGAATAGAAACGCCGGGAACGTACGCGCCAGACGCATGGATTTCACGCAAAAGCGTGATCCACGGTATTTATTCAAATGTGTATTTCCTGCTGCAGGGGCACGCGGCGTCAAACGGAGGTCCCACCCCCACCCACCCCCACCGAAGCGATCGGTCGTGCAATGAGTCGCTCTCATAATCGCGCACATTAAAGTCATCGCCTGCAACCGCGCCGTCCGCGCGTGAGACAGTCGTTTTGAAATTTAACAGCGTGTTCGCGGTTACGCGAAATGCGTACGTGGTGAAATGCGGCACAACAAAGCGCTTAGCAGATCTAATTAACGTGTGGAGTCCGTCTCTCTACCGCGAGCAAACTGTGACCCAACTGCACCCCAAACTGGTCGCAGACGTCCACGTACAAGCGATTCAGGTACGCGGACGTGCAACCAAGTCGCGCGACCGTTCGCTCAGGTGTGGTGGGTCCGCCTTGATATGTTGACACAGAGATCCCCTGAACAGACTGTTGGGGGCAAGTGTTCTTAGCGAGCACCTATGAAGGCCGGCTCGGCACACGAGGGGGTGGGGTGGCCGGCAACCACGCCCGGCCGCCTTTATCTCCCTCGTGCCGATGTTGACACACCGCACCAGACACTCATTGTTGAGTTGACCTAGGGGTAGTCAGATAATCGTCACTGGGTGTTGGTGCTCGTGAGCGGGACTCAAACTCGGGTCGCCGGGTTCGTAGCGCAGCGCGCCTACCACTGCACCACATGTTGACACAATGACAAAGATCCCCCCTCATAACCTTGACAGCTTGCTGAGGCAAGTGATGTTAGCGAGCATCTATGACCCACACACACGCGCGTGGTGATTAGTGCAACGTGCACTAATCATTGCCGGGCCACTTGAATAGTGTCTGGTGGCGTATAATGGTTATCAATGGGCCTCTGGTGCACGGAATGAGATGAGGAGCCCGTGCCCAATGGTACCCTCTCTTCAGAATCAGAGCGCCAGGGTCTCTCCCGTCCGCGGATCCTGGTGTAGTTACACCTCCTGAACCCTGGATAGCAACGCGCAATGACAGTGCCAACTGTTTAGCCATGACAAGCCACATCGAGTCTCAAGACTCTTTGTCCAAGAGTGTCCTGCATTGAGATGTTGGGTCAGCGAGGCTTTCCTGGGTAAATAATTGGCACAGCCGTCAGGCAGCACATCAGTAAATACGTTTGGGTATTTTAAGTGGTATATATATATGTCCACCAAAATAATAACTGCCGATTATTTACACAGTACAACGTCAATGAGTCCCAATGGTATTTTTCAGGAGGGTTCTGCATTGTGATGTTTGGCCATTACCAAGCATTGCCATCCCTTGGTCATCTCAGCTGGACGTGCCTACGACACCTGGCAAGCCGCGATGATCGGCCATTAAATCATTAAGCCAGGCTCGTGCCTGACACCGGTGCATTCATTGTGATTTGGTCGTAAGCCAAGTAAAGCGTGATTCTTTAAATCATTCATTAAAATATCGGCCGCAAGTATCTGCACTGCACTGTAAAACAACTTTTCAGGCTATTTGACCTACAATTTCAGGTAGAGTATACTCCCTCAAACACTTTAGTCAATTCAAGGACAACTAAAATATCAGCGAATGATCCTGAATTTCCAGGCCTGAAAAAACGTGGGATAATAACCTGATACTTTTAAGTTTTTTTCAGGTCAGGAACTTTACCACCCACCCCAGTGATGCTGATTCCCCTGGGGTTGTAGTTTGTCCTCGAATCAACTGAAGTGTGTGGGTGTACACCACTGCGGTGGGCAAACTTCCTGACCTTCTGAGCCGCTAACCAACATCTCCATATGGCCGTGACCCACAGGACACGCACGGTGGTCATTCGGCTGGATCGCTCGGGCTGGTTGCCCGGAGTTATGAATGTTTTAAAATGTGCGGGAGTGCCTTGGGAATATTCATGTCTGGCTCTGCTGCCAGATTTAAGTGTGCCAGACCGCTCACGTTTCCACAGATTGTTTTTCTCCAGTTTCAAATAAAGTGAAATTGAAAGTATTTTTTTTTTTTAGCCGTGTCTGCCAAACCGCACTTGGACTTCTCTGGGAGCCTCGTGCGGTTTGCCACACCTGATGTAGATGGTATTTGCATAAACTTGGACAAAGCCGTCGACATCTGTGCACTGCGTATTTTTGGTTTTGTAAAAATCTTGCAATTTATTGCTGATGGTGGAAGGGCATCCACTAGAGGGAGATTTAGCGAGCCCTTCTAGAGGTCCGTTGGCCTACTCTTCCACACCGGGCAGATGTCTTGGAAGAGATGGGAGGAACCCACACTTGAATTTGCATTCAGGTGAAATTAAGTTCATATTTCATAGCAGCAGAGGCAACTCAACACTGATATTGTTGTCACGAACACCACTTGAATGATCTCCCTTCCTTACAATTTATTACAAGGAGGTATTTTGCAGACATTTGGCATTGTGAGGTTTCGACCAAGATACTCTAATAATAAAAACTGAACCATCAACGGATGTCAAATTCTCATTAAAGTTTCCAAATACACAATTCTAGCACATTCAGAAGGTGACTTGAAATAAACATCACATTTTTTTGTCAATACACGATCCAAGTCTTATCACCCGTACTAAATTGCATTATACACACAAAATCCAGTTTGTCCAGCAAAAATAAAATAGCAATAATAAATACTTAAACATACCAAAGTGTCAATGAGAATATTTTAACTCGTCTTTGCAGAATGTCCAGTTAGCTGCCTGCTATAAATAACGCCCCTTAAATAAAAAATAAGTAAACAACGGATAGTCAAATGTAAAGACATTTAACTTAAATTACACTCGCCCCTATATCTGTGTAATGTGCAGTGATGAACACGGGTTGTGTGTTTGTACATGTGTTACGAGTACGTGTGCGAGTACAGTTTCTTTTTAGACATACATGAACCTGTGCAACTGCAAGCCAGCAAATTTCATTTGGAGCATCATCACATGCAAATTGACGAAAGTAAAACCATTGCCCGTCAACTGCTCGAGTCTGTAATTGTCATCTTCTGCATCTGTCCAGACTTGCAATATCTTCAACACCAACACGCAACGATCACGCTTGAAGTTATTTTTTTTTCATCGCGCAAAACTACTCTCAAAAGTACGCTACCGTGATTAAGTTAAAAGCTGAGGTTTTCTTTTTTTTACTTTAAAGCACGCATTGTGATATTTTATAAATCAGGGCAACTGGCAACTTAACACGACCTCCGCTTGCAAAAAAAAAAATTGTGCACAATGGAAATTGAACCTCTTCCGACAAACTCGAACCGGGGCTCATCTCTCGAATTAGCGCGTCACTTGTTGAGATGGGGGTGGGGAGAGATGATAACACGACACCCATCCCTGTCCAGCCGCGGTGTCGCGATTGAAAAATAAAACGACCCCGTTAATCCGCTCCCGTTTGTGGCACTTTACATAATCCGTGACGCGGCATGCTCCGAATTTCATTTCACAGTCTGCCACTTCGCACGTGAGAGGGGGGACCAGGGCAGATTTCGAGAATTATTTTTCCAAAAACCACTCTGCTTCCCAAAACACTGCGTCATCATAGCTAAAATATTTGGCAATGTACAAATAGTCTGTTGGGACGCGTTTGCCTCTGTACATTTGGTCACTCGTCGCACATACTCTATCTAATACATTATTAGATGGTTTTGATTCTCACTTTATTACTTATTTATTCATTCATTTTTAAATTCAGATTTAAAGGAGACCCTATTTGGTATTATGTACACTCTTCCCGACGACGTGCCTTCTGAATGTAATTACGTCTGGCCACACAGTGACAAAAAACGATCCACGGGAAGGACCCCGGCAGTCCCTCCAGCGAACGGCAGGAGGTGTCGCTTGACAACTTTAGCCATCCGATGTAGAAGCCCCGAAACAGCTTCCGACGCGGCCACGGTACGCCCCATCAGTCAGCATACCCACATGGCGATACCGGCTGTCCACTTGCATAAGCATCGCGTCGCGAGCAGCCGGTCGCTCTCTCAGCAATTTCCTTTGGTCAAAGTCGATATATCATCTCCGAAGTTTTCATTGCAGTACAGGACTCCGCTCTGCTGTCTTGGGAGGGCGTTGCCTTCTTGTTTTGTCGTGGCTGTCCGTTTATATTTGTGCTCTTTGCGTAGCCGTGTGTCTCATGATCTCGCCATAGTCGCACGCGTTGTTGTGTGTGTCTGTGCGTGCGTCCGCGTGTGATCACAAAGTTACCTTCACCCGTACAACCTTAACAAACCGCTCAGGTATGTGGCGTAAAAGGTTAAACACGCTGCGTTATATTAACCCGGCGGCCCCAGTTTGATTACAGGCCAAGGCTGACATCATAAGTGGCGAGTGATGGACATCTGAACCGGTCGTGGGCCTCCCATTGGATCACCGGTCTTAAATTATGTAAATACTACGGTGTGTAAACATCAGCACTGGGGAGACAAAGGCGGCCCGGCGTGGTGCTGGCAACATCACCGCCCACCTCGTGTGCCCACGGTGACCTTAACAAGTGCAGCACTGGCTCCAACAATCTGTTTGAGGCAATACAAGGGGGGATCTTTGTCCCTTCGGCGATCGCAGAATGGTCGCACGTGCTTTGCGCGAGCGTGTGTCTGTGTGCGTGTGCGTGCGTGCCTACGCGTCATGGTCACAAAGAAGTGCACCTATCCTGGGCACAAGCGCCGTGGGGACGTTCGCCTTCTTCCGCAACGTTGACCGCAGAACGCGTCGCGCGCCGCGACACGCTCCCCGCGGCCAACGTCCACGTGCGGCGGCGGCGGCGGCTACCAAATCTGGCGTCACCAAACGGTCGCCTCGCCCATCTCGTGTCCCATGTGCTCGTAACCCCCTGCCCTGTGCAGCCCGAAGGGTGGCTCGGCCCCCGAGGGAAAGCCGTTCCCGGGCGGCATCCCGTGCAGGTGCGCGGGCAGGGCCGCGTTGGGGCTCGTGGGGCAGTCCCGCCCGGCGCCCGGCGGAGAGATGAGGTCCGAGTAGCGGTCGCCGTGCTGCAGCAGCGAGGGGTGGGCAGCCTCCAGGGCCCCCCCGAGGGCGGCCGCGGCCGCCGCGGCACCGACGCCCGGCGGGCCCGGTAGCAGGAATCCCATGTCGGGCGGCGTCTGAGCCTGGGAGTGCGGAGGGTAGAACTCGAAGCCTCCCACGCCGCCGCCGGGCGTCGGTCCGTAGAATTCCGGGGGGTAGTCTGGCAAGGAGAGGAGAGGGAAAGAGTGTGGGGGGCGGGGGGGGCGGTTAAAGGCTATGTAGCAGTTAGTGTAGCGGTTAACGAGGGGGGTGCGAGGTTCTGTGTGGCGATTTATTGACGGTCCCATTGAGCTGAATGTGCGCGGTGGGGTTAAAGTGTGGGTAATCCAACTTCAGAATATGCATTTATATGTACTGGATGAATCTGATGAGCTCATCAACCTCTGTTTTTTCACAGACGTCCCGTAGTCACAGACGTCTGGCCGAACTTGGAAGTGTAGGCCGAACTTGGAAGTGTAGGCCAAATGGCCACGAGAGCATCTCTACTAGAGCACCTCTCATGGGGTGGACGAGAAATTTTGATCACTGAGCAACCTGGAATTTGTTGTTGTTGTTGTTTTTGTTGTTTTTAAAAGGATAAAACTAAAGGACAAAGATCCCCGTGCAGCCTACACAGATTATTGGGGCAAGTGATGTTAGTTCACACAGCGCTGTTAAGGCCGCCACAGTAAACGAGGGGGAGGGGGGGGGGTTGGTTGGTGAAGCCAGCACCACGGCCAGTCACCTTTGTCTCCCAGTAATTATTTTCGCACACCGGCATCAGGTACTTGTGCTCATTTAAGGCCGAGTCGACCTAGTGGAGGCCCGGGATCGGTTCAGATACTTTTCGGCAAACGATGTTAGCCGCAGTCGGGAATCGAAATTAAGTTGGCAGGTTCATAGCGCAGTGCGCTAATCACTGCACCACCGCTCCCAAAACACACACACACAGGTGTCACTGTATTTTACACGTAAGCATCTTCATATGTAAGTGCACACGTGTATAGCTCTCAAGAGGACATTGTTGTCGACGTTGTAAGCCTTGCAGATAGTCGTTCTTGGCGGAAGTCGGCTACTGAAAGCAATGAATGCACCACCGTGGCGAGAAGTCAAATTTACATCACGATCACGAACCAACGCTACTAAGTAGTCCGGCCGTTTAACCGGTGCCCGAAATGGGAGAACTCATAAATATCTTCCTAACTTTAGGTCGGAACCCCCACACCCTCACTCCCCATGGATCTGGACCCACCAACACGAACCCCACCTCGAGGCGAGCCTGAGATCGTGGGGGAGATGGACGGCCGAATCAACAAATGCAATCACGTGTTTTTTGTTCGTCTGCTGCAGCTGCGTTCGTTAGAACAACAAAGCACACTCGCAGACATTTCGGACAATTCTATAAATGTTTGGGAGATCCAAAGCGTGACTGACCAACAGTTTATGTATAGATGCACAGTGAGGGAAAAAAGTATTTGATCCCCTGCTGATTTTGTACGTTTGCCCACTGACAAAGAAATTATCATTTGAACAGTGAGAGACAGAATAACAACAAAAACATCCAGAAAAACGCATGTCAAAAATGTTATAAATTGATTTGCATTTTAATGAGGGAAATAAGTATTTGACCCCTCTGCAAAACATGACTTAGTACTTGGTGGCAAAACCCTTGTTGGCAATCACAGAGGTCAGACGTTTCTTGTAGTTGGCCACCAGGTTTGCACACATCTCAGGAGGGATTTTGTCACACTCCTCTTTGCAGATCTTCTCCAAGTCATTAAGGTTTCGAGGCTGACGTTTGGCAACTCGAACCTTCAGCTCCCTCCACAGATTTTCTATGGGATTAAGGACTGGAGACTGGCTAGGCCACTCCAGGACCTTAATGTGCTTCTTCTTGAGCCACTCCTTTGTTGCCTTGGCCGTGTGATTTGGGTCATTGTCATGCTGGAATACCCATCCACGACCCATTTTCAATGCCCTGGCTGAGGGAAGGAGGTTCTCACCCAAGATTTGACGGTACATGGCCCCGTCCATCGTCCCTTTGATGCGGTGAAGTTGTCCTGTCCCCTTAGCAGAAAAACACCCCCAAAGCATGATGTTTCCACCTCCATGTTTGACGGTGGGGATGGTGTTCTTGGGGTCATAGGCAGCATTCCTCCTCCTCCAAACACGGCGAGTTGAGTTGATGCCAAAGTGCTCCATTTTGGTCTCATCTGACCACAACACTTTCACCCAGTTGTCCTCTGAATCATTCAGATGTTCATTGGCAAACTTCAGGCAGGCATGTATATGTGCTTTCTTGAGCAGGGGGACCTTGCGGGTGCTGCAGGATTTCAGTCCTTCGTGGCGTAGTGTGTTACCAATTGTTTTCTTGGTGACTATGGTCCCAGCTGCCTTGAGATCATTGACAAGATCCTCCCGTGTAGTTCTGGGCTGATTCCCCACCGTTCTCATGGTCATTGCAACTCCACGAGGTGAGATCTTGCATGCAGCCCCAGGCCGAGGGAGATTGACAGTTCTTATGTGTTTCTTCCATTTGCGAATAATCGCACCAACTGTTGTCATCTTCTCACCAAGCTGCTTGGCAATGGTCTTGTAGCCCATTCCAGCCTTGTGTAGGTCTACAATCTTTTCCCTGACATCCTTGGAGAGCTCTTTGGTCTTGGCCACGGTGGAGAGTTTGGAATCTGATTGATTGATTGCTTCTGTGGACAGGTGTCTTTTATATAGGTAACAAGCTGAGATTAGGAGCACTCCCTTTAAGAGTGTGCTCCTAATCTCAGCTCGTTACCTGTATAAAAGACACCTGGGAGCCAGAAATCTTTCTGATTGAGAGGGGGGTCAAAAACTTATTTCCCTTATTAAAATGCAAATCAATTTATAACATTTTTGACATGCGTTCTTCTGGATTTTCTTGTTGTTATTCTGTCTCTCACTGTTCAAATAAACCTACCATTAAACTTATAGACTGATCATTTCTTTGTCAGTGGGAAAACGTAAAAAAATCAGCAGGGGATCAAATACTTTTTTCCCTCACTGTATATACAGTATATAGTTCACGCACCTCCGATTGATACGGTTGGGTATATACGGTGTGAAAGAAGATCAACATACTTACAAACATACAGAGGCTACCCGGCCACTAACCATCGAACACAGACGGTCACTGCATCGCGTGCTTTAAGATGCGCATCTGTGGCCGTCTGGAACGCTCTTCTTTCCAATATTAGAAAGCCACTGGAGCTATGCACTTTTAAGTAATGTACATTTAAAACACATTTCTTTAAAATTGCTTTTTTGTGTTTAGTTTGTTGTCCTTCCCCCGCACCTCTGATTAGCACGGTTGGCTATGTACGATGCGAAAGAAGTTCAACACACGTCCGTACATCATATGATTGCCCAGTGCTCTCCCAAACGACGAATTCCTGAATAACGGAAACACGTGCACGGCTTTGTCAATTCACTGCTGGATCAAGACTTCTGCTGGATTGTGTGATTAGCAGACTGCACTATGAACCCCAGTCAATGAGGTTCGATTTCCGGCCATGGCTAATATTAGTGGCGAATATATATACAGGGTGCTTCAAGAAAATATTAACACTTACATGGGACTATCGTTTTTAATGGAAAAAGAACGGATAATACACTGTAACATGATAACAAATGTGATGTTAATAGCTTCAAAAAGTCAGAGTCTCCACTTGTTAGCCATCATTGTCAACACGTGGCCTGGAATATTCTCCAGGTTCTCTCCAGAGCCCGGAGGCAGCAGCACATGTCTTGTGGCATTGTTGCAAATTCTCAGAAGTGTTCACATTTTTTAAGCACCCTGCACTGACCAGTGCGGTGAATTATGGCAACTAAAAAAAAACAATCCAAATTACTGACAGTCTGAGATGGCAGCCACCCAGCAGTGGATTGGCAAAGGGCTGTAAATGGGTAAATTAGTCAATTATTGTTCTCAGATTATATAGCAGTTGAGAGGTGCATTCCAACCGCTGGTTACGCGTCGTGACCCGAGCGGTCACGTGATGGACATGTTTCAAATATTTTCAGAATTGATTTCCGCTCCGCTAAACGTATCACTTCTCCCTCCCAACCAACCCCCCATACTCATTATATAAGCCCCATAATTCCCATTGGGAAAATGCGAAAGAGAGGTCACCGTGTGGTCAAGCCTACTTGGTGAAGATATTTTATTTGATTTCTCTGAACGTAAAAAAAGCCTGCTGCAAATCGCGGGAATTTGAAACGTGGGAAATGCAGCGAGCTGCAAGGGCGTAACTGGAATTTCGGTCCCGTCTAATGGGTCCCTCTCCTCCTCCTCTCTCCAGCATCGTCCCAAGTGTCACGCTGCGTATTAGTGGGGGGCTACTGGCACGCCGGGTCAGGTTGAGCGCGCCCCTAAGAGCTGACGGTCTGGGTCCGGTCCCCAATGACTCACGCAGAGACTTCATACACTCGCGTAGAGAGAGAGAGAGGCACAGACTCGCATAGACCCAGCGGTGTTGCTATTCACTTAACATCGTTAATCTTCACTCATTGGGTTTTTCGGTAAAGTCACGTATGTAGAAATACAATAAAAAATATTAAAACAAAAAATATAATTTTATTGTATTTCTACATACGTGACTTTACCGAAAAAACCAATGAGTAATTTTATGCAGTCACGAAAGCTTTAATACTTTGTTATCGTTAATCTTCCTTCAAAAAGAATATCCTGAAGCAGAAGGTTAGCGCTGGATACTACCGTATTTTATTTGTAACTTTGACCCTTACCTGTGTATCGATAGTTTAACTTTAATGTGCCATTTTATTGAGGTACTGTGTGTTGTCTTGGTGTGGTCTGGGACTGTTTATGCTATTGTTTTTCTGCCTTGCCCAAGCTTGAAAATGTAAGTACTTCTGCAATTTGAACTTATATACTGTAATAATATTTCTTTGTTTATTTTGACTGATTTTGCTTACCTTTCCTAGACTTTGCACTATCGTTTTTTGTATTATTCATTGTTGTAACTTTCTGACCCACCCCCTATTGGACATCCGTGAAAAAAGAGCTTCATAGCTCATCAGGATGAATAAAAATTCTGATCCACACACACACACGCAAAGGAATTGATATTCCTGATTGTATCCGAACTCCCAAAAAAGCCCGGAGTGAGAAACGCACTCGGCGAAGATTGACACTCAACGTAGCGCCACTGTTCTACCAAAACCTTGTCAAATCGAGTAAGATTTGCAACGGACGATAATGTTTAATGAGCCACCGCAGCTGTACACGCCGCTCTCATTTTAATTGGATTTTGCCACTTTACTAATCAGTTTGACAAGGTTTCGGTCTGACTTCCAGTCCGACTTTAAAATAGCCTTATCAGCGGGGCGACGTGTAAACACGAGACGACAAGGAGCGCCTACTCCCCGTGCTTTGATGCAGCAGGGGTTCGGGGTGGGGTGGGGTGGGGGTCGCAAGTACACAACACACGTAAAACAATTTACACAGGAAATACACGACACAATTTCGTGCCGTGGGATCTCTATCCCTGGCGACAGCACGGGAGCACGTGGCTTACGGCCGAGCAGGATTAACGGCGTGCCGACTAATGTGCCGCGGTGGCGAGATGTTAACTCCTTCGCCTGGTATGCAGGAGGGCACGGGTTTGATCCCGACCCTGACACCTGTTGCACATTTGGAGTTTGCATGTCTCTCTCTCTCTCTCCCTGTGGTCACGTGGATTGATCCCGTGTTCCCGACCCTGACACCTGTTGCATATTTGGAGTTTGCATGTCTCTCTCTCTCCCTGTGGTCACGTGGATTTTTCTCCGGGTCCTCCGGTTTTGCCCCTCCACATTTAGAAGCACGCTTTTAGAGTCTTTAGCTGCTATAAATTTCCACCTGATAAGCCACTTTGTTGAGCTGTCATTTTGTGGCCAGGTCGATTCCTGAAAGAGAGCTGCATAGCTCGTTCTAAAATAAAAATAAAAATAGTTCAGTTGAAATTGTGCGTCGACCAAATCACCCGCAATTTGACAAAACCTCGGAAGCCAAGTGTGGTTTCGGATTCCCTGGGATACACACGGGATGGCCCAAAAATTAGGACACATTTAATTTGTTTTAACACTGGCAATAATACAATTTGAATGTCTATCACTTAAGTTAATATCTTAATTATTATCTTTAGTAACGTCGAGTTTTCTTTTCCCTCTGCAGATGACATAACACAATTTTCAAGGAAAAATTACTCAAAATGAACGAGTTTAATTAGTTTTTTTTATGTAAGCTGAAGAGGGCAACTCTAATCTTTAAAAAAACAGTCCTACTAAATTAATTTAAAAAGATAATTCAAGGTGTGCATTATTGGTAATGGCAGTCAATTTGAACATTTGTTGCAATAAATTAAATATCCCTATGCGATTTGTTAAAATAAATAAAATAATCCAATGTGTCCTGACTTTTGGGCCACCCTGTATCGCGCTGGGATGGGCTAAGTGCCACCGTGCACGATAGACAGGAGGGTTGAGTGTCACCGTGTGTGATAGACAGGAGGTTTGAGTATCACCATGCACGATAGACAGGAGGGTTCAGTGCCACCGTGTGGTAAAATATCCCTGACGGCTCACAAAAGCGTCTGAGAGGCTTTCATCCAGCAGTGGATTCACAATACGGGCCGCACTTGCAGCTAATGCGTCATCGACACGCGGGTTCTGTCCACTTGCACATAGCCAACCGTGCTAATCAGACTGTGCAGGGGAAGGACAACAAGCTAAACATAAAGGGGCAGTTCTAAAGAAATTAATTTGCCAATCTAGATTATTTAAAAGTGCATAGATCCAGTGGCTTCCTAATATCAGAAGAAAGAGCGTTCCAGACGGCCGCAGAAGCGCATCTGAAAGCTCGCGACGCAGTGGCCGCCTGCGTGCCGAGGTCAGGTCGACGCCGGGTGTCGAATTAAGTTGCCCTCCTTCGGCAAGTGGAAATTGCTTTGCGTGTCGGCTCAACCGTAGGACCTCTATCGCACGCCCTTGTCGTTTCGAATCAACTTGTGTCACGCAACGTTTTCAAGTCGACACGTTAAGGCCATCCCTTGCCTCTCGGGGGAGGAAGGCGAAGGGGGGGGGGTGGAATTTAATTCGGTACCTTCAATCTACATAACCTGTGCACATGGCGGTTATGTTTTAATGCTGATGTGGGTTTAAGGTAGCGCAGTGGGGAGCGCATGACTCAGTCAACTTGGTCAGCCTCTAACACCCGCTCTATTCCGCAAGTCTTCTGCCAGTGAGCTTCCGACATATCACGTGGTCACAAAGTGCACCTGGCCTGGCACAAATGCTGTGGTAGCAGAAATGCTGTGCTGGCGTCACCGCCACTTAGTGGCACTTGTAGTTGTTGATCGTGGTAGTAATGGGTGGGTCTAGTAGCAGGGTTGGTGGTAGTGACCCATGGTGAAGGTAGTTGCGGTGGTAGTAGCGATGGTGGTGGTAGTGACAGTGGCAGTACGAGCGGTGTAGGCGGTGGGGGTTTGTGACGATCGTGGTTTTGTTGTGGTGGCCAATTTCCAGTCCGTTGCTGTGGGCTACGTTACTGGAACATGGTGGGCTAATTTGGCGAGTGTTGCTACCGGCTCCTTGCCGTCATCATCGGCACAGACGGCGCGCACAGCGTTAATTATGCACAGAATGAAAAACCACGAGGCTGGAACGTGACAGTCGGATCGGCGCACAGCCACCACCACCACCACGCAGGGGAAGGTGTGGTAGAGCAATTAAATGAAAGAGGCTAAAAGTGCAGCCCTGCAATCACCTACTCATGCCACTGCTGGCGGAAGGGGGCCTCCATGCACTATACTGCTGGGTGGACAGAGGCGGTGGCGGATTCAAGATGAGTTCCCAATGTCTCAACCTGACGTGCCGGGAGGTTGAATCGGCGACCTCGAGATTGCAGGTTCATTGGAGCATGACAGGACCCGAATAAAAGTGTAGGGCTATGGATTAATTTAACCAGGTGAGATTTAATGTTCCATCAGAACAAAGTCCTGCATGCCATGTGAAGTCCAATGAAACTATTTTTTATTTATTTTATCAGATAAAACTCACTGAGCTATATAGACAGCTATTTTTCATAAACGACCTGGCCACGATCCATAACTCAATGCAGTGACCTATCGGGTGGACATTCATAGCAGCCAAATACACTCTAAACACATTTTTACAAATGTGGAGGGAAAAACCGGAGGACCCGGAGAAAAATCCACATGACCACGGGGAGAACATGCAAACTCCAAATATACAGGCATCGTCAGGGTTGGGATCGAACCAACGACCTCTTGCATACCAGGTGAGGGAGTTAACAACTCGTCACCACTACTATCAAATTGAAGTCAAAAGTTGTTGTGCGGTGTACTGGTCTTAACTGGATACATGTGGGTGGACCGGTGGCATAGTTGTTCACGCATTGCACTGAGTTCAATTGTGTCACTACAGTTTTCTGCGGCGAGTACAATGTCTTTAAAAAGAGCTGCGATACGCCTCTCTAAACACAACTAATGCCGAGCCGCTTGCGCGTTCCGAGATTCAGCTGTGAATGGGACCCAACATGCAACTCGCAGACGTCTCGTAAACAGGAAAGCGTGAAATATATTTCGATTGATCCATCGCTGGCGAAGGACACGGGGGACCGCCGCCGCCGCCGCCCCACGATGGGGGGCGGGAGGGGGGGGTTAACTCACCGGGGTAATACGCGAAGGGAGCCCCTGCCTCCCCCTCCTCCAGGCGGCCCGCAAGCGGCCTCGCCCTCCGCGCCCCCCCTCGGAATAGAGCGTGCCCCCGCCGGCCCCCCAGGGCGCTCAGCTGCTTCATGCGCCGCTCCTTGGAGCGCCGGTTCTGGAACCAAACCTGGGGAGGTGGATCGCGTGCGGGCACGTGCACCGGGGACGGGCGTCAGGGCCAGGAGCAGCGGTGGAGGGAGGGCAGGCGGTAGGGGGATGACATGGGAGGGAGGAGGTGCCGTCGTGGAAAAAAATGCTGACCGCTTCGCCAGGTAAGGCCCACCGAGCTGTACAGCTATTTTTCAGAAGCGACCTGGCCACAAATGGGTGCCCGATGAAGTGGCTCATCATGTATACATTTAAGGCAGCCGAATACACTCCGAGCGAATGTTCTTAAATGTGGAGGGAAACTCTGCAGGACCCGGAGAAAAATCCACGCGACCATGGGGAGAGCGTGCAAACTCCAAATGTACAGCAGCGGGCGTCTGGATCGGGATCGAACCTACGACCTCCCGTATACCAGGCGAGGTAGTTAACATCTCGCCACGGCTACGTATTATGTATAGCCCTTTGCATCCAATGCTTGGTGAAGGCTTTCCCATGCCGCGTCGATCACGGGGGTTCTTGAACATACTTCACCGCGCTGACCAGTGTGCGTTGATTAAGGGGAAGAGGCCCAGGGCTAGTTCAGGTGTCGTTCGCCACACCTCATGCCAGCAGTGGCTAGGAATCAAATTCAAGACCGTTCCTTCTTTTTTAGTACGGTCCGGCGATTGGACGTTTAACCAATTTGATGAATGAGTATTGGTATATAGGTAGGAAAGAGGCACCTGGATAGAATACAACCCCCACTCGTACGAATGGATATACATTCAAATTTCCACGCAGATGGATTCAATAATCCATTGTTTTACTGTCAGCTTCTGTGGCCACCCCGCAGTCCAAGCTTGGTACTCCACCTATTGTGGGGCAAAAGTGACAAGTTGATAATTTATTCAAGGCTCATGGCCATGACTCACAGGATTGTGGCCTAGAAGACTTCTTATTTATTTAACTATTTCTAACCCTAGTCTCTATGAGATCCCTCCTTGTGATTGCGACACAGAGTTAAGAGCAAGATCTATATAACCAGGAAAGCCTCGCCAAGCCTGCATTGGCATGTTTAACAAATTACACTTTAAGGGGTAGTGTTTTTACGTGTGGGATGAAACTGGGGGTATCCGGAATAGGAAACAACGAAAATAATTGTACAGGCAAGTTCAGAACCCACTGGCTGTCCTGCCATCTCCTGGCAAACCTGGCATCCCGCGCGATTCTCAATCCCTCGCCTCCGAAGCGCTGGATTACAGATCACAGGCGTCCCAACACCCACGGCGCGTGGCGCTCTCTCTCTCTCTCTCTCCGTCCACGCAGTCAGCCCTCGGTAGCCAAGCACGCCGGGCCAGCAACCCCGGCACTGACCGGCGTGGTCAAGTACGGCCAGACAACCCCCATGTCCGGCACAGCAGAGCGGGAGCCGGGGGGGGGGGGCAATGCCCTCACCCAGCAGCCAATCGACAAGAGGAGGCGGGGAGCTGCGACGCGCGGTCACCACCTGTATGACGCGCATGTTGAGCCCCGTCTCCTGGGCCAGCTGCTCGCGCACGTGCCTGCTGGGCTTCGGCGTGGCCGCGAAGGCGGCGCGCAGTGTCTCCAGCTGCTTGGCCTTGATGGTGGTGCGGGGCCCCCGGCGCTTGCCGCCGGCGCCGCCCGCCGCCTCCTCGGCCTCGCCCTCCTTGTCCGAGCCGCCGGGCCCCGCCGCGTCCTTGGACAGCTCGCCGTCCTCGCCGCCGTCGGGGCTCCGCGCGGCGCCCTCCGGGGAGGTCGGGCTCCCGTCGCTGCGTGCCGTCGCGGCCACTGCGGGGAAAGTGTGGGGGGGGGTTGGGTGGGGGGGCTTGGTTAGATATCGGTGCCAGGTCGGCACAGAGTGGTTGGTGGATGAATAATCGATCATCATCAACAGCAGCAGCAGCAGCAGCAGCTGCCACGATCAATGAAAGCTTCATCATGAAGGTTTTTTTGGGCTTGGATTGCGTAAATATAAATGTGTCGTTCACCCACCACCACCACCACCACCACCCGACACAGCCAATTAGTGAGGTTTGTCACGTAAACAAAACGTACCAGTTAGTTACTACTTTAGCACACCGGCGTCGTGGAGAGTAAACCCACAAAATGTACAATTTGAGTTTGACATTTCGCTTGCAATTACAACCAGTTTCATCAGGCGATTTGCCAGAAATTGCCAACGTAGAGCCTATTTGCACCTGTACCTAACCTTTTCATTTAAAATTTACCCCCGTTTTTGTTTCGTTTACGACCGTTAAATACACTGATAATTGCGTGCAATATTCCTGAAGGAGCCTGCTGTACTCGTTATCTGCAACGTTGATGCGTTTGTCTTGGTTTTATTGCTGCTGCTGCTGCTTGCTGTGCTCACACAGCACAACGGATCTCCCGTTTAAAACAGCCAGGCCACTGGCTACACGGGATTATCACCATCATCCATGTCACAAATAAAGTGAACTCAAGCCGCTGGGTGTATTGCATCCCCCGCAACCGTTGCCATCTCTCACAGTCCCGCGACGTAACAATCCACCTGGCGCCTCTCTCTTTGCACGCGAGGCTAAATCCATTGCTCCATCTTCGTCGCACGAAAAACATGGGTGCCGTTTCACAGGGCGTTCTGGTAATGTGCGCGCCAAAGCCGAGAAGAATGAACTGGCAAGCTCTCTCTCTCTCTCTCTGTCGTGGCGTTGCGTTTGTGGAACATGCAGCCCTCTAACCCAGGGGTCCCCAACCCTCGGGGCCGCGGACCGGTACCGGTCCGTGGCCTGTTAGGAACCGGGCCGCACAGCAGCAGGAGGTGAGAGCGGTGAGTCCGCACGTGGAAGCCGCCCCCATTATTTTATCATTTACCACTTCCGTCCGCGCCTCTTTCCCGCACTGCGCCACTTGTCTCAGTCACAGTGTTGGTATAAAGCCCACAAGCTCTAACCCCTAGTAGCCACAATGAGTAAAAAAACAAACGTCGCTGGAGAGCTTCTTTGAAAAGGGGGAAAGACCCAATGATGAACCCCCCCCCCCCGGTCCGTGAAAAAAAATTGTCTTCCACGAAACCGGTCCCTGGTGCCAAAAAGGTTGGGGACCGCTACGTCTAACCGACGTGTTCATAATATTACATGAATAATAACAGCCATTTTCGATCCACTGCTGGATGAAGGCCTACCGACGCTGTAGCCGTTTGCATGGGTTGTTTGACCGTAGTTCGCCAAGCTGGTCGGCGAAGTTTGGTGAGCAAGGAGGGGGGAGCTGGTGCACAGGACCGCTTCAGGTATCACTTGCCACCGATGTTGGCCATGACCAGGAATCGAGCTTTGGCGTTGTCAGGTTCGTAGCACAGCGTGCTAACAGCTGCGCCATACTCCACATCTCTCGTGTGATTTGACATGTTGCATTGTCACCGTATGAAGTGCGTCTCGAACACAATTACTGTTTGCTGAATCCCACCCAAATGATTTCTCACGTGTTATGTGCAGTTGGCACGCTCGTAATGTATGTATGTTGAACTTCTTTCGCACCGTACGTAGCCAACCGTGCTAATCAGGGGTGCGGGGCAGAGGCAACAAACTATACACAAAAAAGCAGTTCTATAGGAATCCATACTCTTTGGTTCTTTCGGTAAAGTCACGTAGATAGAAAATTACTAGATCACGACGTTTCGATCGCAACACAAAGCGACCGTCTTCAGGCGAGAGAGCAGGTGAGAGTGTAGTTTTCTCTCTCTCACCTGAAGACGGTCGCTTGTGTTGTGCTCGAAACGTCGTGATCTGGTAATTTTCTACCTACGCGACTTTACCCAAACGAGTACGGATTCCTGCAGTCACGAAAGCTTCAAATCTATTGAAATCAGTTTTTCAATGTAGATATTAAAATGCGCGTTCTTGAGCGGTGGAGTGTTGGGCGACACCTCCCTGGCCAACTTCGCTGTGGGCAGCGGGGCGTCGCGTGGACGCACGGCGGCAACGGGGCCGCTTGCATCTTGACAACAAAAACAAAAAAACACCGAGTCGAGTAACACGGAGCCGACTTGCGCAACGGAGAAAGCGAGCGTAGAAAAAGAACGGGATTTGTTTTTTTTTGCCGCAAACTCGCGCTTGTACACGTCGTATCGATTGACGACAACGATAAAGGCCTTTTTTTTTTGCCTCCCCGTGCCCGTGTAGAAGCGGCGTGTGCGGCCTGCAATCACCGCTCCTGGTTTTTTTGCGGGTATTGACGCGAAGCCGGTGGAGGTGGGAGGGGGGACGACGACGACGACGACGACTCGTGGAGCCCCAACGCAGTTAAATTGCCACTTGCGACCGTGCAAAACCCGTCGATGTGTGCCCGCGTGCAGCCACGCGTTTCATTCAATCGTGATCAGGGGCGCAACGATGGGGTGGGGTATGTGTGTGGCGGAGTCATGTGACGCACTGGGGGGCCCAGTCGGCCCACATAGTGGGGGGGGGGGGGGGCCTCCCGAATCAACAGATAAACAAGTAAACAAATGTTAAGATAAATTATACAAAAAAATACCTGCGGTCTACCATGGACCAAGGCCGATTAAACGCATCTGGCTATCATATCAAGAGAACATAACGTTGCGCTATCCAACCCCTTTGAGTAAAATCTTATACCGATGGGTCAGCATGGAAGTAAGACGCATGGTAACTTAATTGTGAGTATTTTACCTTTAAACATTTGTATGTATCAATACGGTCACTGTTAGGCTGTCTTCCTCTAAGCCCAATACGCGGTGCAACTAAAATAACACAGTTATAGACGACATTATTGTATACGGGTTACACACATCCGGAACTATTTCGGTAAAAAAAAAATAGTCGGGAGAAAGGAGGGGTCCACAGTCGTATCTTGAAATAGGCAGTTGGGGCCCTGTTCATAAAAATTCGCAGTTTTGTAATGCACCAGGCGCACAGTATTCGCTCATCCCTGGAATAGAGAGAGAGAGAAAGGACTTGGGGCACGAGGAGGAAACCGCAGAGAAGTGGGAAAGGCAGCAAGATTGCCGAGCCAGGACCAAATCCCCTACCACGCTCTGCGGTCCTCTACATGTGAAGCTGTTATCAGCCTATTTATGAGCGTTCACATGCGCGAGGAACCGTGGCACCCGGAGAAAGTCAACGAGTGTGCGGGCGGGCGGGCGGGGGCAACACTCTATCCCATACCGATGGAACGGGTGGAGTCCACGTTTGCCGGATCGCCTTTTCCCGGCGAGCTTCGGGGGGATTTGACGCCCACGGGAAGGAGTTTTCGCGACGTCTGCGTGATCCGCCGACCCTCGCCACCACAGCGCCGGATTAGAGACGCGCACAGCCACCATCGCGGCGACTGTCGTAAAGATCTGGCAACACTTCTGCGCCCACGCTAAACGGGTTGACAGCAGTAGATAATAATGCCATCGTTACCATCTGCCGTGCTCTTGTCGACCGCTGGATGAATGTATCCCCCACGTCGTCGCCACAACCTCGAACGGTCACGCGATTCCACGCCGCGCGCGCCGATCTCTTCCGCAGCGACCATCCTCTACGCTGAGCCGTCTCCTCTGGAAGATGTTCCGTCACGTGGTCTCGCCCGTCGAACGTCATCCCCTTCCAGCCACGGCGTGTCTTGCACAACACAACGTTCACTTTGCTTCCAGCAGGCACGGTGACGTCTCTGACTTTGGGGGCGTTTGTTCTCTCAATTGATGTGTTCCGCGTTCTGTTTCCCCAGCGCAATTCCAAGCACGAGCTTCATTTCTTTACCGGGCGTTCGTGACGATGTTTATTTGCCTGCGTCCAACGTGTCCGGGCAAGAGGCGCATGCATTTTATATCAACAGGGGCACCGTGTGCTTATGGACAAATCGGTGGTGCTTTTCGAGAGCATCATCTGCCTGCAGGTTGGCAATTAATTGAAATGGAGTTTTTTTTTTGGGTTCAAATTATGCCGGCTAATTAAATGCCACGACAAGGATTGATTGCTGGGCGCTAACCACCCGATGCATTTCAAATGCGACAACTTTTGATTTCAAACACAGCTACCGTGCTCGCTCTCGTCGCAAGGAGTCGTAAAAATCTAGACTTAACCTCCCTTGCAATATTTTCTGAACACCGTTTAACCCCCCTTCAACCCCCCCCCCCTGACAAGGGTGATTGGTGATGATGGTGGTGCAGTAGGTAAGGAAATATTCTTCATAATAAAGGTTTTTTTTGTTAGATCGCAGTTGTATAAATGCGTCGTAACCCTCCACCACCCGACACAGCCAATTAGTAAGGGATTTGTGACCTAAACAAAACGCCAGTTAGTTACAACTTCAGCCCACCGGTGTGTTGGACAGCAAATCCACAACATTTACAGTTGAGTACGACGTTTCGCTGGTAATTACATCCAGCATCATCGGGCGATTTGCCAGAATAGTGAAGCCATCCACCTGCTTCTGGGCTTAAATCGAGCAGCAGGACGACGTCATCACTTAACCCAATCAGGTGCAAAGTTGTGATTATGTGTGTCTGTTCAAAATGTTTAGCGTACTTCCCAACATGCAACAAACTTGAAATTTGCCATGTGGGTACTTTCCAGACTGTACAACATGCAATACACTGTGGTATATTTTTTTTTGGGGGGGGGGGGGGCTCAATAATGCATATATATTTTTTGCATGGCAAGTGAGCTGTGACGTCAAATCTGTCATGTGACCCGCGTATGTGGAAGCGTAACGCAGTGTGCCCGCTGATCGCGGGTAAAGTGCCATACAAATGTGTTGCATGTCTAAGGCGTTCTTCGCGCAGCATTGCTTTATTATTTCAGTCGTTT